AAATACATGCTTGAAATTGTATTAAAAATTCCGCTACCACACAACACAGAATCCTCTCGCGTTTCTTCAAACAGTTCAAAAGGTGATTTGCATTCAGATGACAGACATGCCGGCGCCGCGTTTGCTATGCTAATTTACGTGTGTACAACAAACATGTATTAATTAAGTGTTAATGAAGAACACATTATGAGTGACGTACGTACCTATATACATTCATTTCTAATTAATTATCTGCGAGCCATAGTCGACGTCTCCTCACTTGCCTTGAGTAGGGCAGTATATAAATATATCTTTATTTAATTAAACTTAAACAACACTACTGAATAGTTACACATTAAACTATAATTAATTAAAGCTATTTCATAAAAATAAACCAGTGTCTTGTCTTCACTGAATTTTTTTTATATATATAAAAATCACGCGTCACAATATTTGTTCGATAAACTCCGAAACTTCTTAAAAAATTTAGCTCACCGTGTGTAATTTGGTGCGACTTATAAACGTAGAATATTTTGTATTAAGCTACAGTAATGCGTGGTCGGTTTATTTAGTACTACTATATAGCACTGAAAAGACTGTTTCTTTGACCGCGTATAAACTTTAAAACTTTAAACCTGCGTTGCAAAATTGAAAAATTATCCATAAATACCTTTCATACAAAATCATTTGTGTGGACACTTCTATACAACGAGTTTTAGCCACCAAGTTGCTTGCTTCGTAACTTAGTTTCCAGTTAGACTGGTAAGATACGAGTATGCTAAGGGAAAACGAATTTGAACAGGCTGGCGATGTTATGCGATGCAGCAAGGACAAGCGCGATCATGATTTCTTTGAAACTACGTGAACCCGCCTCGCGTAGTTAGTCTATACTATAATATAACTCAACAGGAATTCTTTTGATAGGCGTCTTGCAGTTGTTTGGATTTTAGACATTTCTATTTTACATTGTGTTTGTCTTTCGAGGCAGACTAAACAATTAGTAGATTGTTATTTTTAACATGCGTTTATGATGATAACTGATGATAATTGTAAATATAATAGTACTACCACAGATAACATAATATTACACATAACATAGTACTACACTATTTTTTAAAAGAATATCTTTCATGTTAAATTATGTGAAATATAAAAACTTAACCCTTAACAGTTCAAATCAGGACTACGTTAGTAAGTGGCTATTTCTATGACTAGGTATCATAGATATAGCCAGTTAAATATTTTATTTTTTGGAGATATCTATGTAATATACTTATGTAGAAAAACACTTTACACATTTCTTACTTCTTAATATAACTGTGACTGTATATATTATAAATGTGACATTTTGTGAGTATGAATGGATGGACGGATGGATGGATTCAAGTCCAAGTTTCCATTCCAAAAACATTTGAACTAAAAAACGCGCGGTACGTTGATTAGGAGTCTTCTCTCCAAACGGAGTGTTGATATTGCGAGATGTTTCTACCGCGTTCGTTCCACGTCGTAATTCGTATTCAAAAATGACTCGTAGTTTCGAAGTCGCCCTCCATTCACGTCTAAGATGAATAAAAAAAACAACAAAAAGACAAAAATATAATGTTATACATTTTTTTAAAAGACTCACTCGAAAATATCACTCCTTGAAGTATTTATGTCAATTCAAAGTATCTATTACTATAGAACGACAATTTCATACATTAACAACATAAAATAATGTATTGTGTGGATCGAATATTTGATCATGGGAAGATGCAGCAACGTGTTAAATTATCCCATTAACCCAAGCTCGTCAGAAGTCGCGGTTAAAGTGTGAATAGTTTGAACGACATCCTCAACTTTCCTGCGAACAAAGTCTGGAGTTACAATTTACTACTACAGTTAAATGATACAGGAGAGTTTATAAGTGTCATTTTGTAGAAGCATATTAGACCCTTTAAACTAGTATGAGGGGTACGCAAAGTCGTTTCAACTTTATGTGTGATCGTAGTTCAGTCAACGGATTACTGCACTAACTGTGGCGTGAGGCAGAGACTAAATGGTCGTCATAACTTTAAGTATCATCACGTATTTTATATTTAACCCAGTTATTAGCATTAACTCAGTTTTTTTTTAATAAAGGGCGAAACGTTTATACTCTTACCATTATACTTTGATAGGGAACTAGTGGAGGATGATACTGAATATGATGGAACTGATATTTTTTAAAACCCCTTACTATTAATAAAGCGCCATTTAGTCCCAAGGAAAGCGGAAATTGTGTTAAGGGGACTAGATAACCGATACACAGTTACTTTTACTGTAAATACACACATAATGTACGTAGACAACATCCAGGCCAATACAAACAATCATACTAGCCATAAAATAGTTTCTACAAGCACATAAGAAGTTTTCTTGCTTTGATACTTTGTTAAAATTTTGAAGTTTGAGAATGTCTTAATTCCATAATGTTATTTTAAAATATTATTTAGGTAAGTAACTTTGTATATAAATAATTAGATTAGACACTGTTAAAAAATATTAGATTAAAACGCCTATCTGGACACCAAGTAGTATCTATCTATATCTTTAATACTCACAATTTGAACTATGTTGTGTAAGTCGAGAGTGAATATAAGTATGTAATATTAAGTTATCTGTGATATAAGTACCAAAAATTTTTAATATGTTTGTAGTAGTAGTATATCTTTTAAAATGTATTTTAAATTGTCCCGTTTTAATATTTAAATATATATTAGGACGTATAATGCTAATTTTTGTTCTGTCACTGACCATTACTTAGTCATCATCTGCTTCTTCCTTATCCCATTTATTTGGGGTCGGCGTAATATGTTTTTCGCTTCCATTCATCCCTGTTCGCAGTCATCGCGTTATTTACTTCCTTTCTTACCATATCATCTTTCACACAGTCCATCCATCTCTTTTTCGGCCTTCCTCTGCCCATATAACCATCCACATTCATATGTAACACCTTTCTTAAAATATTATCCTCGTTCCTACGCATTACATGTCCATACCATGATAGACGATTACTCTTCAACCTCTCTGACACCGGCGCCACTTTCATACTTCCTCTAATGTATTCATTCTTTATCTTATCCATTCTTGTCACACCACACATCCACTGACCATTACTTAGTATAACCCAATAATGCTTAGGCGAATTAGTTTATCGTGATAAGTACGTATGTATATAACTAGTGTCCAGAATATGGAGCCTGTAGATAACAACACAATCCTGTCTGAATTGCCCACCTTCGGTGACAATGCAATATTAACATATTGTATTGACATACAGATTGAACTCTGTATAGATAGACAACTAAATGTAAGGGGAAGACATTGTTAGCAGTGATGTGATTACTGTCCCAATTGTCTAGAATTGTATCGAATGTATCAGTCAGGTCAGGTCAACAAGGATACCTACTCGTGATATACTCGTGATAAATACGCAATGAACAGACTGACCTGATTTAGCAGTCTTCTTTTTAATCCTCGCTTATCTAGTGATTTAGCACACTGCCTTACTTACGATGGTCGCAGGTTCGATACTTCGTATAGTAAGAACATTTATATTCATTGGATATGATTGTTTGTATCGCCATTAGTGTTTTCTGCTTTCTATTCTATTCTATTTCTTTTACGTATTTACAAAAACCAATCGATTTAAATATTTATATAGTTGTAGCCCTCGGTGTTTTATGTGTGTATTTCTAAAACAAATTTATCTAATTCTATCAGTGGTACCCATAATACAAGATCTGCTTAGCTTGAGATTAGATGGCGCTGTGTGAATTATTATTAAAAGGAAACCTTCCTTTGTCACCATCCAGCCAGGTCTAGTGCAGGCTAAATAAGTAAAAGGTCCTTAATTATTACCTAAAAATCTAAAATATTAATCATAATATTACATACAGTAGTACTTTATAACTTTCTTAATAATGTTTTTACAGTGAAATTATGATTTTTCAATTGAACATTTTTTTAATAAACCTTCGTTAATATTCATCATTCAATAGACTAAAATAATAACAACGAAACAATACATTTTGCACGTAACAAATACAGTTATGATATGGTAGAAAAATTGCACACACAAACAACAAATCGTTTAAATGGCTGTGGTTTTTGCCATCACAAACTGATCAAAAAAAGTTATGAACGGTGCTAGTTGAAGGTTTTGACAAACAAAATAGAAGTATCGACATATAGAAAAACCAACAGATATTAATTGAAACGAAATAAAAGCTTTGTTCTCGTCGCTTTTCCCTTCGAACAATAGTAGCCAAAATTGAGAGTGTGCAGAAAAAGTCATATTGCAGGCGCTGCATCGGTCCGTTGTTTCATTTTGTTTGTTTTTTATTTACACTGTATATTTTTGTGATAAAATAATTGGTACGTTCTGTTGTCCGAGGGTTTAATATTGAATCGACGCTGAAATAGTTAATTAGGATTTTTTTCCTGTAAAATAACAGCGGGTCATATTGCGTTCACCGTAGTGATCTGTAATTCTCTCTGGTTACCCTGAAATAATAGCCGGTAGTTCACTAATTGTTGAGGTGTCTAGTTAAACACTGCCACATAATAAACCCTTTCGTCAGGTGTTTCCTTACATTTATTTTTAAAAGTTTGGTATCTAGATTAGTATCGTGGATTTGCAAAAAACAAATGAACAAAATTTTGTGGTTTTGACACCTGACCGGCTACATACATAGAAATAATTATTATAATAGATATTTAAAATTAGTTATTAAAATTATTAGTATAATGTTTGGTTGGTTTGGGTTGGTATACGTAGTAATTTAATTTTATGGAACATTTTTAAACTTTATTAATATTAAATTTTCTTTTGTTTCAGGTTTTCGTGTAGTGTTTATCGGTGTTAGTGTTAATTAGGTTTAATTAAATGTCTATATATCTACTATACTATTTTAAAGTTCTTCTTAGTGTTTATGTGTAAGTGTATAATATATATTAAGTTGTAAATATATTGTAAAAATATTAACCGTGTATTCTATGACAATTCACACAACTTTATAGTGATGTGACCAATAGCATCGCGTGATTCACGTTCCATATTCAAACTGTATGACGTTTAGTGCGCAAAGATTATGGAACGAGTGTTTACAGACAGTTAAAGTGTAAACAGAATCAGCGAGATGTCTCAGCCAATGAAGCGCTCGTTCAGCTCGGAGGGGGGGCACGCTTCCAAACGCGATTGGAAGATGAGGCTCAGTCTTCGAAGCCGCAGCGGGCACAGCGTCGTGAGTATAGAATGTTCATTTTATATTCTAATTTAAAAAATAAAGGCCTTGTGACCTTTTTCTTCCGATGACTGTTATACCGCATCTCTGGAGATATGCCATATTGTAAGAAGATCAACCATCTTATAGCTAACGGTAGTTCGTACTTATTTTTCTCTTCAATAATGGAAACATCGCTATATGTTGATATAAGGGATGGCAGTTACTTTGTTCTGCATTATATGATGCCAATGTACCCCTCGAAATGTGAGCATATCAATTTTACCACCATCATGTCAGTTAACAATACATCAAACCTCTAACCCATCTGTGATACCAGATATTTTATTTGATTTTTACATAGACAGAGCTTTGTAAAAACCACAAACTAAACCTTTGTAAAAATCACTAAAAGTTGTTTTGTGATTTTTACAAACGCGTTATTACATAGCATCAGAATAAAATTAGTGCGTTATATGTTGAATTTCTAAAATCTGACTAGTACATATATAACCACTGTGTCGTGTATATAATTTTACATTTTGTAATAAATATTAATATTAATAAAACGCAATATGATTTAAGCCAACTGACGTAGTTTAGTGTAAATCATATTGTGTTTTATTAAATTTCCTTATAACATATTTCGGCACAGTACTTAAAAAATCTAGATACGAAAAGAATTTAAAAAGGAGCTTGCCAGCGGCAATTTATTTCGTACAGTGTTACTGTCAAATTACGAATGCTGTCTGTCAGCCTTAATCCGCAGATTTTGCGCAATGCTCACATTTCAAAGACGTACTTTCTTCTATTTCTACTCTCCCAACTCACTCTGCTTTAAAGTATCTAGTATAAAGTACAAATTACTAGATACACGGATTTATTAGAAAAACGTACATTGTTTTTTTAGAAATAAAGAGGAAGAACGACCTCTGCCAATATTACTAATATATGCCAAGATGCAGTTATCCCCGATGATGAAGCCAGATTCATTGTGAACTTTTTTCATTCATTGTGAAATCTCTTGTTGTAAATTCAAGACTTGTCATGGCTTACTTTTTGATATAGATGTATGAATATAATAGTATAGACCGAGTTGGCCTTTCGAAAGATTGCAATCGATTGTTCTATCACCAGAGAGTCAGTCCGAAATGTAAATTGACAGATTGTTATAGTCCGACCTTATAAGTCTATTTCGGGTTATTTCCATAATCCCATCAAAAACATTCAAATTCAATATTCCTAATTTCTAATAGCCAAACAGCCAAATTCAATATTCCTAATTTCTAATGATATATTTATATTTCTTGGTTGTTGACTTCAATGTCAAAAGAAGTGATGATCAGGTCTGAAATTTATTTATGACAACATAAAATATCTTTTCTTCTTATTACTTAGGATACTCGTAATATACTGAAGCCTAAGGTCTGCCTTGTACTTATATGGCTTGAACTTGGCTTGAGACGCTCCCGCGTATCTAGATAAATATGTAATAATAATTAGACACTAATTAAAGTGGAGTATTCCGCGAGATATGGGGAACCCTACGTTCACCAGAATTCTTATAACAAATTATTGAGGATTTGTTTGAGGCACGTTTTAATTAAAGCGTATTTGTGATCCATTTTAATTACTTCACAGGGAGTTTGTTTATCTGCGCATTATATTGTGCCAGTTGCTAGATGTCTATTGCTAATTAATCGTACGTAATTAGGATACAGTCAAGGGTAAATGTGGAAGTCTGAAAGCTTGTCGTGTTTTTATGGTACAGTTATCAACAAAAACATGAGATTAACAATTATTTATTTAGGACATTTTAGCTTTTAATCTTAGCTGTTAAAAAAAATTAACGTTATTATTATAACGTTAATTTTTTTTAATATTTTTACACGAGAGTTCATATCAATACAGGTAAAAACGAGATGGACTTGCACTACTTTTTTAAAGCTATTTTATTACTTTTTTGTCTTGTATAGCTGTCTACATATATTTATTTATGATTTATAGTGTGGTAAAGAAAATTATATGGAAAGGAAAATTGAAACATTATAGACATCGCATCATCATGTGACGCTCGCGGTACACTACCGTTCCGAAGAATTTGTACATTAGAATTTCACTGCCATGTTTCCACCTTCAACCCAACAGCTGATAATTGCTTGACAGCTGTACTCTGTGGGACATGTAACTACGCGGATGGTAATTTACAATATTTAAATCGTAAGAATGTACAAGCGTTAAATTCAGTTGCAAAATTTGAGCCAAATAATAATACGACTGCAAACATGAAAATGTCGACGAAAATGTAGTATTCTGTTACGTGCAGTAAGTCTCGAGACGAGGTGGCTATTGAATTGCATCTGAGGCAGGTTGTTACCTCGCACCTATTACGTAGTGTTAACCACACTACTTCCAACCATTATCATGGGTGTACCGAAACGTGAATCGTTTATGACGTCACCAACTAACGCTACGCCATTAAATTTCAATACGACATATTCAAAATATTGCTGTTAAAAGTTTATAATGTTATTATAGTAACTATATATGTATATAGAGTTTGTTTCTAATGAATGACAAATGTTAACCAAAAATAGGTCAGGAGAATACAATTTTTATGAGATTGCGAGTGAAACTGCGATGCACAGCTCGTTGTAGATATATATAAATCTATAGAACAGCCGCATTTGTTTGCCCTTTCTCCTGTTTGGGGGTAGTATACACGTCGTCGGCGAATATTTTATAATCATTGGGACGACCGTGATAAGGGTTACGCTGTGCATTTCAACCCTTGACGCGAACTTTTGTTTCTTTTTCCATTTTCTTAACACTCCAGCATCTATTACTGTTGTAATATAAATGAGAAGGAATGTCTGTCTGTCCGTTTGTTATTTTTTGACTAAATTTTTTAAGAACAAATGGATCTTAATGTAAATTAACTTTTGGATAGGTTGTATCACGAAGACGAATAAGCCTGTCTTACATCTTAAAAAAGCAGATTTTCGATGAAAACGATATTTACGCCTTCCGATGGTCGCGGATTCGATTCCTCGTACGATGCTAACAGGAATGAATACCACTCATGAGTATGATTGTTTATATCGATATGTATGTTTTCTAAGTATAGTGTATACTGTGCATTGTTTTTAAAAACATAAGTATTTTATCAGTTGTCTACATTACAGGAAATTATACTTTTAATTACAACTTAACATAACATAAGCTCTACGCGGGTCGGGACTAGATGGCGCTATGAGAATTGTCTGTTTATTATTATTATAATATTATAAAATAACATTGTATATTATCATACTAGCATATAGACCTAAATTCGTCCTTACCCTACCTTCATCCTATTATTAGGGTCGACGAAGTCTGTAGATCTAAACTAAACATTTAGACCTAAATTAAACAGTCTAAAACTAATATGGGTACTAAATACTAACACAATTATTGAAGAAAGCGTAGTAGTCTAATGGTTTACGACCCCTACTCAGACCTCAAGGACATGAGTTTGAACCTGAGTAACATCCAAATAACTTTGTGTGACAATTAATATTTGTAACTATCTCTTCAGTAAATAAACATATGAAAATTAATATGAGAAATTACCTTTTTTGTTTTTTATTATCAGCCATTAATTTTCTGAAGCGTTTTAGTATTACAAACAACAAAACATATAAATTACCAAATTGACGGCCTTGGTGGTCTAGCGGTTAAGCACACCGCTTTGTTGATAGTCGCGGGTTCGATTCCATGCAAGATGCAAACATTTACATTCATGAGTTTGTATGTGTCGGTCTGGGTGTTTTCTATGTATTATGTATGTTCTATGTTCTTAAGTTTGATTGTCTGAGTCGGTCTGGGTATTTTCTATGTATTAGTATATTCTAATATGTAGTTAGAAAAAAAAATCTAAGTATATAAGTTATCATACTAATTACACAAGATAGGTCTAAATATTAGTGGTTTTATAATATATACACTATGTATAACAATACACAGTGCATCACAGTACTATCCAGTACTAAAATTTATTCAGTGAACAGAAGGGGAGAAACAAACAAACTTTTGTTATAAATAGATAGAAAAACTCCGTACAAATGCAAACAAATGCACCTACTCATGCATACAAATGATTATATTGTCTGGGGATCGAATCTGCGACAATGTAATATGAATCAGTATATTATAGTACTGAGGTCGATAACCCTTGTTATCAGTCGATGTTATCAACAGTCTATATTATTCTAAGTAATATTTTAAATGCGTTGTATTTGTTTGGAATTCTTTCATGCCTTAATTACTTCACTAATCATAATGAGATTAGACTTATACATTGTATTTGCGATGATATAGAGCAGTGGTTCCCAAACATATTTGTCCCTTGCCATATTTTTCGGTTTTAGGTAGACCCCCCATTCCTACCTGGTATTGATTTTTTGTAAATTTCTAACTGTAATAAAGTTTAGTGTTAAAAATATAATGTAAAAAGAACAAGATGACCGCTGTCGTAGACCCTGTGCAGTTTGTCATAGACCCCTGGCGATATAGAACTTTGGGAATCACTGATATAGAGTATATTATGCCAGAAGACAGATCAAATATACTACAATCAATGTCTCATGAACTATAAGTATTAATTAAAATTTGTGTCTTCATAACAAATATCGAATCAAAACGGAAATATTAAGCAACAGATTCGTAACATTTTCTAGAAATATATGTGTTTATATCAGTTGTCTAGTACTCATAATATAAGCTCTGCTTAGATTGTAACTAGCCGGCGCTGTCTGGATTGTCCTGAGATATTATTATCAAATCTTCTTCTTCAATCTTTGTAAAAGTAACGGTACTGAGTAGGACTCTTTACATTCTGACAATATTCCTTATTTTTAAATATTTATATTTTTCTTATATGAATATTATTCATCTTGCCTTCTGCTATCATACGTAATTTGTTACGACATATATTTTTATAATATAGTAATACAGTCATATTGCGCTTATAATTACCACAA